CTAGTTCGTTATACTCAATAAATGTTTGATGAGTGGATGGAAGCTGACATCAGAACTATTTTTTTTGGTTTTGAGAAATCTTTGAGTCCAATAGAAATCATTGAGATACTAGTGTAGTATCTATCTACTAATTTTTGCAGCTGGCCGATACGGGGATTGAACCCTGGACCTTGGTGTTATCAGCACCATGCTCTAACCAACTGAGCTAACCAGCCAGCCCTTCTATCTGTTAATCTAGTTCTGATTTCAGTTCTCTTGAGATGAAAACTTGGGATTTACAGAGGTCACAAGCCAGCTGCACCAAGGAAACTAAATACAGGCGTATTCTGGTTTTGTTTCCTTAAATTTTATTGGTCTGTTAGTTAGCTGTGCTAAAAATAGCATCTCTATTAGTGGTATCTCAATTTGAAAATTATCTGGGAACAAAACTGCTTTTACTGCAAGCTGCCTGGTAGCAGAGAGTTTAGGAGATTCTGGCCTTCCTTCCCCTGGACCCTAAAGAGGAGGAGGTGGTGCCAGATCGGGAGTCCCGTCAGAGCTGTCTCAGGACATATGCCTGGGTCAGTCACTGGAATCAGGTGAGGGGAGTGTATGTGGCAGACTGGTCCATGACTCTCAGAATCACCTGAAGATGAGGGTCATATGTTCCTGCAACACACACAAGCCAAAACAGCTGAGCAGCCAGTTACAGCAACAGCTCATCTCTCCTGGGGGAGTTGGGGCAGCAACAGTGAGTGGTCCTCAGGTGAGGATGTCATCAGATGAGGCTTAAATCATCCAGTGTCCTTCATTGAACTCCTACAGTGTCCCACACAGATTGTACTGGAGCATATTTGTGGAGCTCCTATTATATTTTCAGTTTAAAAAAAAAAATTTTTTTTTTGGCAGCTGGCTGGTATGGGCATCCAAACTGTATTTTTACTTTTTTTTTTTTTCGTGACCGGTAAGGGAATCGCAACCCTTGGTGTGGCGTCGCCCGCACCGCGCTCAGCCAGTGAGTGTACCGGCCATTCCCACATAGGATCCAAACCCACGGTAGCGTCGCTGCGCTCCCAGCGCCACACTCTCCCGAGTGCGCCACGGGGCCGGCCCTGTATTTTTACTTTTGATAACAGTTTCTGACTAAAATAAAATGGTGAAGTATCCTCTTAGTTAATAGAGATATTGCTGTATTCCATTTTTCATCTTGAGCCACTCACCTTCAGTTTTAACTGCTGATTCCTGGTTTCCAACAGCCCATGGAACCCTGGCATTTTGCCCTATCAACACAGGAGTGCCATTTGTGGTGAAAGAGAGTAACTATAGGTTATATAGTACATAGGGAAACAATCCAGGGTTGGTTGGTTTTTTTTTTTTTTTTTGCCATTCTGCTTCCTAGAGCTTTTTTAGGAATGCATTATGGTGAAAGTGAGAATTGGCTGTATAGCCAAGGATTTGTGTTCATGTCAAAGCTGAAAGCTGCCACCACCCTAGTGGTAGGACAGCATGTTGTCTGGTAATAGGCAGGGACAGAAAAAGCCAAGACAAGAAAATCAGCATCCTCTTTGGAATACTCATCTAAGTCTAGCTTGATTATACTTGAAGAGGAATCATAATGTCCATTAATTTCAAGGCCCTGGGCTGCTCCAGGGAGATACATTATAGGTACTGGATATCTCATCAGTTATCCATCAAACCCATTGCATATTAAATGGCAAGAGAAAATTTCACCAATTCTAGTCTTCTAGTCCTTTATGGTATTCCCAAACCAGTCCTGGGGTCAGATATGTGTGGAAAATGGCTGAATCAACAGGCTATCTGAGCAACCATCTGTGCATTACATAAAGACACCAAGTACTACTGGACAGAAGAAATGATATAAAGACATCCTTAGATGTGTCTTAAATCAGCCACTGTGCTTGATTGAACTTCTACAATGGGCCTGGCACTAAGGATGAGGACAGATCCAAATGAAATAAAAGGTAGTCCTTGTTTATAGGGAATACTTAGTTTAATTGGGGAGACAGTAAATGTTCAGACTTAGGAAAGAAAGGAAAAAAACTCCATTTAGATCTTCATACAGGCCTCTAACAAAACAAAACAAAAAACTCCATAAGGTAGGAAGTGCCACTTGAGTGGTTTGGATCATACAGGGGCCTTGCTGTGGCATGCCAGGAGATAGAAATAGGTGTAAGTCTGGGATCAGCTTTTGAACCAAGACTTGAGCATGGCAGCTTAGCAAAGCAGCAAACCGAAGTACAGTGTGTGCATATTCCTGGGCAAGGGTATTGGCTGCTTATATCTTTTTCTGCTACTGCTGTACTCAAGGTTGGTAATCATTTAATCAGCAATTGTTTCAGTCATGAAGGAGGACAGCAAGATAAATGTGTGGTATAAATTCAATTCAGAATCTGGGCCAAAGCCTGCCACCAAACCTTCAAAGTGAAGTATCATCTAGAGCTAAAGGAAAAGCCACCTGAGCAGGCGGTAGGATAAAGACTGGGAAGACTTGGGGAAGGTTTAAATTTCTGGAGGGCATGGTAGCAGAATCAGGAGTCTGACTACCACAAATTTCCAAGGTTGATGAGATTTGATCTTATTAGCTGGGCAGATGTCCCGTCCTGCCTTAGGGATCTTTGGGGGGCTGTCTGCCTGGGTCAGTTGAGGCAGGAAGGGCAGAGAGGATGGTTAGTGGGCGACTTGGCGGAGGCTGAACCCTAAGGTTGAGCCAGGCCCTCTCCCTGGGGTGTGAGCCCTCTGGGTCAAGGGCAGGGCTCATCTGGGGAACCTACTGGAGCACCACGCCTTGCTCATTAGTGGATGTCTGGGGAGGCCTTTGAAGATGAAACACTCCATAAGCACTCATTGTTTCTGTTTTTTGGACAAACTAATACTTTGGTCTCCAGGGGCTGTTGATCTGGCTCCTTTGCACTAGTCTGGAATTTGCCACAAACTGAGAAGAGTAGGGGAAAAAAACCAAAAAACAAACATGCCTGAAGAAGTTTTTGAAAAAATAATTAAACTCCCACCAAACTCCCATGCTTTAGCTTGTAAATAGGATTCCTCCCCATCCACCTTTCACATTCTTGGGTTTGGATGCACTCTGTCTTGACCTGTTCCTTTGCCTGCTGGGTTTGGTGTGTGTGTGTGTGTCTCTGGTTTCCAGACTCTGTAGAGAATGCCAGCAGCTGGCATATGGTGATTGCTGAATAAGCTGCCCGCTGACACATGCTTCCTGCATGCACAGAGGATTGGCTGGCATGGGTGATTCTGAAGCCCCATTTCATTACTGTTTCAAAGGTGTATTTCTATGGGCTGGCCAGTTAGTTGGTTAGAGCATGGTGTTATAACACCAAGGTCAAGGGTTCGAATCCCCATACCAGCCAGGCACACACACTCAGAGATGCCTTTCTGTGACTGTTCTGTGCCATAAAGAAGGGAGGGAAGAACAGAGGGAATGAATGAATGAATCTGTGATTCTGTCTGTTGGGGGCAATAGCTGGGGAGGGCAGATAGGCATTTTGTACTTTCACAGTGGATCTTGACTGTTCTCCTTCATCCTTTCAGCAGGTATTAAGTGCCTACTGTATACCAGGCATATGCATCCAATCTGAGTGAGCTGCAAGTGAGGTCAGTAGAGACACTGAAAGTTAGTTCAGTTATTCAACTGCTATATGCTAGGCACTGTTCTAGGTACTGGAGAAACAGCAGTGAGCAAAACACATGAGGAGTTGACATTATAGTAGGAGGAGTAAAACAGTGCAACAAGAAACATAATATAATGTGTCAGGTGGTGATAAATATTACGAAGAAAGGTAAAGGATAAGGGGAAGGGAGTGGTTGTGTGTCTGTACAATACAGGTGGTTATGGAAGGCATCTTTGATAGGCGACATTGGAACAGCCACCTGAAGGAAGTTAGGAAGTAATCCATGAAGGTTATCTGGGAAGAGCATTCCAGGCAGAGAACATAACAAGTACAAAAGCTTTGAGGTAGGAAAGTGTTGGGGAATTTGAGTGGAGTAAGCAAAAGGGAGAGTGGTAGAGCTGATGACAGAAGTAGATTAGTGTAGGTCATGCAGGACTTTGTAAACTGTGGTATGGGCTTTGGATTTTACTGGAAAGCAGCTATGAAGCCAAGACAGGGTTTTGAACAGAGGAGCAATATGACTTGATTTTGGTTTTAAAATCACTCTGGCTGCTATGTAGAGAACAGATGGAGGGGTTAGGGAAGAAGCAGGAATGAGATGACTACCTCATTGCAGGTGACCATGTGGAACAGCTCACTTTGGATGTGCCACAGACAGCCTAGGATTTACCTGGCTGAGGAGTGAAGGAGCCTCTCTTCACCCCACCTCCCAACTCTCAGTGCACTGTTATATGAACAGGGCACAACTTTAGCAGCTGGCATTTCACAGAGTGTGAAGGATCAGCGTCTTAGGAGTGCTGTTTTCTTATTTCTTCCTCAATTGTTTTGGTGTGGAAAGAAGATGGAATTACAGAAATATAGGAAGGGAAGAAGCAGAGTCTCTTGATTAGAGCAGAGAGCATAAACCTTGGGAACCTGGCAAGCCTGAACCTTGTCAGGAGTCACAGAGAGCCACTCCTCATTCCACTCCCTTCTCTCCCACCCTTTCCAGAAGTCTCTGGGTAAGGCTGGGGGAGGGAAGGGCATTAATGATCTCGCAATGCCTTGGGGTATAGTGTAGAATGTCAGAAATGAAGGGACTTTAGAAATCATCTAGTTCAGCCCACTCTGTTTACAGGTGCAGATATGGAAAGGTGAAGTAACTTGCCCAGAGTCACATGGACAGATTACTGGCAGAGCAGAGATCCTGTGTGTTCACTCCTTTATCTCTGCTCCTAAAGGCTCAGAATGTGTCTGAGTGCATCTTGGTATTCATAGTCTCCTCAGGCTCTCAGTTTGTCATGAATGAATTCCAGCCACGACTTTGGCAAATCCCATTTACATGAAGTCCTGACAAGCAAATGGTGGTAACAAGTTTGCATTTCTTTTGCCCAGGTTCAAGTTCTCCATACCAGGGTCCAGGCCAAAACCAGATTGCCACTGCCCCCACTTGGGCGCCACTGTCCTCAGAAAGTAGCTGCTGTGATCATGGGCAATATCTTTGGAAACCTTCTCAAGAGCCTCATTGGGAAGAAGGAGATGCGCATCCTGATGGTGGGCCTGGATGCCGCAGGAAAGACCACCATCCTGTACAAACTAAAACTGGGAGAGATCGTCACCACCATCCCTACCATTGGTAAGGGCACTGCCTGGATATGGGCTTTCATGCCAATGGCTGAGGCCAGGCAGGGGACCCATTCCTAGATCCCCCACCTGGCCTCTTCTCCCCAGGCAAGTCCATACAATTTGTGAGGTTCAGACAAGGATGGTGGTTTAGCTTACTAACAGGTGCTTGAGCTGCCATTTGCCCACCTACCCTGGCCCGCCCTGATGGGGAACTTCCACAACCTGGCACTTAACAGTTGCCCTCAGGCACTAGAGTTGGTTTGTTCTCTGTGTTGTTTGGAAAGCCAGTGAAGGGCTTTGATGTTCCTGCCAGAGGCCTAGAATTGCTTCGGTTTAGATCTTCAGTAGCCAGTCCTAGTTAAGACCTGTCTACAGGAGGGAGAACATTTGCCTTGTAGTCGGGGGCCCCATATCATTTTCATCAGCTGATTCTGCCTTTGGGGCTCCAGAACTGTAGCTCACTTCTTTTTCTTCACTCCGCCTCTCAGGCCCCACATCTTAGCAGAGGCAGCCTCTGGTGGCCAAAGTACAGGAGTGGGGCTGAGTCATTTCTTTGAAGGAGGGAGAACCAAAGACTGAAGGAATGAGTGGGGAGGGTTGGCTCACGTTACCCAGACAACTGTGAACCTCCTGACCGGCCCTCCTCCTCCTCTTTGACTTCTACTCTTAGGTTTTCCTTTGGCCTGGAGACTACTAGGTCAAAGATTACCAGGTCTGAGGAAGCCTTAGCTTTCTTTCTGTTGTTGGTGTCATGGCCATGGCTGGGGGTAAACAGAACCAAACTCATTGTGGCATTGTTAGCAGACCTGCTGTTTGAGGCCAAGTGGCCATTGCCTGTTTTTTTCAAAGGGTTCAATGTGGAGACAGTCGAGTATAAGAACATCAGCTTCACAGTGTGGGATGTGGGTGGCCAGGACAAGATTCGGCCCCTCTGGAGACACTACTTCCAGAACACCCAAGGTATGGCAAATGATCTGCCCAGGATTGGCATGGATTGGTTGGGTATGAGCAGAGTGTGGCCGTCTTGCTTGGTTTTGGGCAGCCAACCCTTGCCCTGCTGCAGGGGGTGGGAGAAAAGGAGGAATGGGAGCAAGTATTGGGAGAGTGTGAAAAGGGTGTTGTCTTTTGGTGGTGGGAGAGGGGGTCATTTGTCATCTCTGTGCTGCCCATGCTCTGCCTCCCTAGGGTTGATATTTGTGGTGGACAGCAATGATCGGGAACGAGTAAATGAGGCCCGGGAAGAGCTGATGAGGATGCTGGCAGAGGATGAGCTCCGGGATGCTGTGCTCCTTGTCTTTGCAAACAAACAGGTGAGACTTCTCCCCACTCTTGAATTTGGAAGAGGGCAACCTGGCTTGGAAACCTTGGGGCTCATTGTATGGACAGCCCTGTGACTGTGCTCTCAATTTTAGAAGTGTGGAAAATATAAGCAGCCACCCCACCCCCAAAATAGTATTGTTTATTTAGCAGCACTTTAGTTTTCAGGCTTGGTATGGTAGATGCATCACCTCAGATCTTTCTTTCATCTTCCCTATTGTCTAGTTTAGTGGAACTGCCCTCACTCCTACTGTCAGACAGAACTGATCCTGTGGCCAGCCTTAATCACCTCTCCATTTCCCTGCCAACCCCGTATTTGGTTTCCAGCTTCACGATGGAATGCCCTACAGTGCCTTGGACCTGGGGTTCTAGGATGACTAAATCCACAGTAGCTCCTTAAGATCTTGTTCTGGGTTTCCTAAATGAAGGAGAAGGTACTGGTACACATTTCTTTGGTAGGTGGGTGTTCTAGAAGCCTTTGAAAGATCCTGAGACTCCTTTTCATGTGTCTCCCTCATGCTCCAGGATCTGCCTAATGCTATGAATGCTGCTGAGATCACGGACAAGCTGGGCCTGCATTCTCTGCGTCATCGCAACTGGTACATTCAGGCCACCTGTGCCACCAGCGGGGATGGGCTGTATGAAGGCCTGGACTGGCTGGCCAATCAGCTCAAAAACAAGAAATGAGAGCCAGGCAGCCCTATCCAACTGTCCCACCCTCTCCTGACCTACCTACTGTCTTTTTACCCCAGCCTACCCCTTCCTTCCCATTTGCAAGTGTGGCCAGGGCCCTGGGTATCATGTCCGCATACCCAGCAAGAGCCTTACCTCCCCTGCCTCCCTTCTTCTCCCCTGTCCACTGACATGAACAGTCCCCAATTGCTGTCCTGATGATGAATCATTCCAATTTACTGGATTTAAAACAAAAACAAGGTTGTTATGGTTTCATGGGGTGGCCCCCCTCTCTCTCACCCTCTGGGTTTTGGGAGGTGGGGTGGGGCGTTCTCTCCATTTGCTTCATTTGGCACTGGTTGCTGTGCTCTTGGCATCTGAGTCCCTTCCCTGTCCCCACAAGCCCCTCTCCTACCCCCTGTCTCCCTTTACTTCACCACCCTCTCCCTGTTCTACATGGAAATTGCACGGGCCTCTGTGTGTGCGTGCATGTGTGCACCTGTATATACATGTATAGAGAGATATATATGTGGGGGCCAGGGGAAGGAGAGTGTGGAGTACAGCTCAGGGCTTGCAGCCAGGACACTGCCCACTGGAGCCTATCATCTGCCCCATCCATGTTGGTGAGGTGTAAAGGGAAGAAAGTGGGAGGGTTTTAATCAGGCTGGACTGCTCTAGTCTTGAAATGGTTCCTCTCCTCTCTGCAGGTAGGTTTTCCTGGGTGATAGGACAGATGATGGATTCTCCAGCACCATCTTCCTTGTATCCCTCTCTCCACCCTTCTTAGGGCAGGGAGGTGGCATTTCTCACTAGATGACTGTTCCCAAGGAGATGCCATTGTGCTCTGCCTTGTTAGTGGGAAGGAGAGAGGAGCCCACTCATTCTTACCAGCCCAGAATGTTCAACTGATCCTCCCCCACCATCCTTAGATCTGTTCCCCAGGAGCTTGAGTGGGAGGTGGGGATAGCAAGATAGATGACTGTTCCCAAGGAGATGCCATTGTGCTCTGCCTTGTTAGTGGGAAGGAGAGAGGAACCCACTCATTCTTACCAGCCCAGAATGTTCAACTGATCCTCCCCCACCATCCTTAGATCTGTTCCCCAGGAGCTTGAGGGGGAGGTGGGGATAGCAAGGCCATGGTGTGTGTTTGGGACCCAGGGCACAGGGGAAAAGGGAAGGCCTCAGGTTTTCCATCTTCATTTTCTTTTGTTTTTAGAAGGTGAGGCATGGATCAGTCCCATTCCTGCCTTCGCACACTCCGCCCTTTATCTTCTGGTCTTGGGGGCTAGATGGTTCATCTGTCCTTTGTCAGAAGTTTTCTCACCTTAGTGGTCCTGTGGGCTTGACCAGGGCTGACTGGGTGATCTAATGTGGAGCAGGGTGACATCACAGACCTCAATATCAATCCCCCTATTCTCCAACTCTCTTTTTCTAGTCCAGGATGTGCTAATGGATGAAGATTTTCTGTTGTTTCCAGGCCCTCAGACCATCTTTGCTGTTCCTTCCCCCTCTGTTCAAACAATTTTCCCCGTATCCTTACCTCTTCCCATAAATAGATCTGGGGGTTGGAGTGTAGGAAATAGAGCCCTGAAGTACTTGTTGGTACTGGTGGGATACAGTGGACTTCAAGGTCCTCCTCCATTATTAGGTAGTTGTTCAGAAGCTGCTGCTACTGGATCTCTCTGTCTACAGGCAGCACTTGTCCCTGAGGTCCTGGCCTGGGTCCTGATTTCTGCGGTTTCTGTGAAGCCGTGGCTTTTCTGTGGGCTCCTGTGTATACTGGCTGCACCCTGAGCTCCAAGACAGCTGCCCATATCCTTTCTCCTAAGGTCAGGGCCCAGGGCTTCCCACAGCATGGCTGAGCGACCCCTTCTTAGAAGGGCTGTCCCAAGCCCCACTCCATGGGGCCAGGCTTCCTGCCACCTTTGTCTACAGCAGGCAGATAAATAACCTCTACCCCACCCCAGATTGAACTGTGAAAGAGAGGTTCCAGGGGTCTCTCCCTCAGTGCCAGTTACTTAGTGATATGTTACTTAACCAAGATGCAGTGGGCGTGTGCAGCTATCTTGCTCTCTAGGCCTTTGTATGTATGTGTGTGTGTGCGGTGTGGGGGGGGGGTGCTGGAGGTTCTAGTTCATTTTTAAATGTGTTCACTCCCCTGACCCCACAGATACCTCTCTGCACACTTTTTCTTTGCTCTGTTTTCTCAGATTTTTTTTGTCCTGCCCTTGTTGCCTGCCTGAACTCTTTTCTTGCCTTCTCAACTCATTCACTGCTGTTGCCTATTTTTTTTCCTTTTTTCTTTTTTTTTTTTCAGAAGACTATATGTGCTCTGATGTTGCCTGTTTTTCTTTTCCTTGTTTTTTTCCTACTTGTGATTCCCACTCTCTTTTTGTGGTTGGTGAGGCCTCTCCTGCCTCACTCCCTCTCTGACCCTCCCTAGTTAGATGCCATTCCCAAATATGTTTTCCTCATTTGAGGCCTCACCCCCACCTTTTTGGGGGGGCTCCAGGGACCAATTTGGGTCTGAGGGTGTTAGGAAGCAGCCTTGGAGGTTGCCTAGGTGCTGCTCCAGATCTTTCCAGCAGGGGGCAGTAGGTTATCTTGGTGGTATCCTTGGCTGCTAGGCCCTTGGCAGGGGTGGTCCTTTCTACATTCCCATTCACCTAACAGCTCTTTTGGGATTGGGTGTTTCATTCCATTTCTGCCCACTTCCTCCCCCGCTCTCCTTTGGTGGGTTTGATTTTATGCTTTCCCATGTTCCAGCTTTCTTCCTGGGGGTCCCCCTCCCTGCCACCCCTGAAGTTTGTTTGTGGTGTTATATTGGTAACTGCAGTTCTGACCTGGTTTCTCTCTTCTTTTTTCCTCCTCTGGAATGTAGACTGTATATGTTTAATAACTCACCTTCTCTATCCTTGCTCAAAATGTGGGATAATGCGATGACTGTGACCCTGGTTGGAAATTAAACATGTTTTATGCAGCTTTGGAGCAAACTTTCATCCTTGATGGGACAGTGGTTTAATGGTGAGGGTAGTTCTGTTTCTGGTTCTTCTGTCCAGACTGCTTCTTCTCTCAGCAGAGAGATAAAGGGCACCCTTGTTTGGTGGAGAGTTAGGTTATGGAGGAACCTAGGCCCATCTCCGCAGTACTTATTTCTCCCCATCACACCCCAGAGGGGAGCCCGAATGAATTGGGCACCAGAGTATGAGGGTTTTGTGACTTTGCTCCTCTAGTTCTGAAGGGTTTAACACTGAATTTAGCCATATTTATCACCTGTTGGTAGACTTTAGGGATTTTAGTGGCTGGAGGGCCCTGAACTTGGAGTGCCCCACACTCCCTTCACTGTCAAATCTCCCCATCCCTGCACACCATGTGCTTCTAGTTTGAACAGGGTCTCCTCATCCATAGATCAGAGTCCCCTCACCCATCTAGTTCTGGACTTTGGCATGAGTAAGCATGAAGGGTCAACGTCTGGGCAATGTAATGAACTTGATCTTTCTTATAACTGAATGGCTCTGTGTCAACTCAGGTGTGTGGCTCTGCATTGTCAGGATGCCAAGTCTCATCCAGAGATTCTACAGATGTCTTAGGGAATAGACCTTTTTCACAGATCCTCTGTCCTCCCATTCCACTCTCACCACCACTCTGGTTCCTCTCCTGCTACTATTGTCTGACTCCCGGCAAAAAAAGGGATGGTGCTACCCTTGGGGTGGGTAAGATCTGGGTGAGCCAGGCAGACCTTCCCACTCTTACCACTTTCTTAAGCTTTGAGGACAGGGGTCTCCCTAACCTGTTGTTGTGGGAAAGGGACAGGATTTAGGCACATAATAAGTTTGAGAGCCCCAAGTACCAGTGTGAAGTATATCATTTGTATTCAGTTACCTCCCTGCTGCCTCCCCTACCAACTTTCCTTTTCAGCCCCTCTCCTGTTATTATTAAGCCATCAGCCTCAAAGACCAGGGTTTCAGCCCATGTGTAAGCCTCAAACTGCTCCAGCCAGACATTCCTTTATCAACACAATAGCTTCAAACGTTACCTACTTACCGCTCAAAATTAGATGACTCTTTCCTCCTTCGAGGCTTTTCCAAAGTCCTGCTTGGTGACAGGACTTACTGATAAGTTAGGAGCACCTTTCCCAAGTGCTTTATTTGTATATTAATAAACAGATACCTTCCAGAGCTACAACCTCTCATAAGAAATTGAGAATGGAAAGGATTTTAGCTGAATGGCAGTGGGGGTCTTTTGAACCCTGAACAACTTTGAGAAGAGGATGACCTATTCCTTTCTGTCCCTTAGTACTCAGTTCAGGATGCCAGGAAGGAGGTAGAGGGGAGCCCTCTTGTGGCAGTTGCTTAAACCTTCCAGCGTCTTTTGGGGGGAACAGGGAAGAGGGGAAGACAACCTGTGAGGTAAATGCTTAGCACCCGGCTCCTAGGACAAATAGCAGCCCCACCTTCCAGAACATGAATAGCTCATCAGTCATGGCTTGTCAGAGGACCCAGATCCAGGGTCACGTCAGATAAGCTGGGCAAGGGAGCTTCCACTATGAGCCTCGAGAATACCAGTGGAAAGGCTTGGATAGGCCCAGATGGGATGGAGGGTAAAACTGTCCCCTTCATTCCAGAGTAAGGGCAGCAACAGAGAATGAGAGTATGTATGGGTTTCTCAGACTTGTGCTATAAGGCCTGAAGGCTCTGGGGATTCACTGCACTCATCACTTCCAGTTCAAGTGCCTTAGACTGGTTACAGCAGAACGTTGACAAGTATTTATTTAGTGCCTTCTATGTTTTTATTCCTGTGCTAAAAATGGGTCAAACCACTGTACTCAGGGGAGGACCTGGGGATCTCTTTCTGGGAGGCTGTGGAATCTTCTGGGATATCTATAGTGTACCACGTGGGGTAGTGAGAGTTGAGGAATAACTGTAGGGTGATACCCCTTCCTTTGCTGCTGCTTAGTGTAGGGAGTGGTGTCTTTGGGCAGGCAGTCATAATACTAAGAGCAGCTTCTTTTCCCGTCATGAAGAGTGTGGAGGTAGGAGGGCCAGAGTCCAGTTCTCTCACTTTCTAACCCAGTAGCAGGAGAGATGGAGTATCATGCTGGTCACTGGGGAGTGATAGGATATAGATGCCTTCCTTCCTCTGCAGCCTTTTCAGTCTAATTGGGTTTCCTGACCCTAGTTGCTGGTGTAGATAAGAATGACCCTGAATTCCTGAGAAAAGGGAAGAGGGTTAGAACAGAGGAAATGGAAACCTTGAGTATGGTGAAAGGAGCAACGCCACTGAAGGCAGTGGCTGGAGGTCTGGAAGTGAGAGCTTGGGCCGAGACTGTTCACTATCAAGGCTTGAAGGTGAGTGTCTGCTTGTGTGTGTCACTTTGACAATGAGCTGCAGAGGAGAGTATCTGGGCTCTAGTTTATTTTTTTATATTTTTATTTTTTTCCTTTTTTAAAAAAGGATGACCAGTAAGGGGATCTTAACCCTTGACTTGGTGTTGTCAGCACCACGCTCTCCCAAGTGAGCCACGGGCTGGCCCTCTGGGCTCTGGTTTAGGAGCAAATCTGGCTTCTGAGCTGAATGTGCTGGAGTAAAGAGGACACTCAAGCCAAAACTCTGGCTATCTGCACATAGCTGACCAATTCTACCTAAGGACCCTCCCTTCTACCATTCTTCCTCACCAACCAGGCACATCGAGAGCTGTGTGGCAGTCAGTCCAGTCAGGCAGGAGGTTTGAGAATGAGCTTGCCTGTCTGGCTCACCCATCCATCCCATACATTGTTGAGAGCCATCCTAGGACAGAATTGAGTACAAGGACTTCTAAGGGTTAGAGGGCTAGCTTGGGGTTCTGAACCTCAGGGATTCCTTCTGAGTTCTGAATATAGTCAAGAAAGGCACTCTCTTGGCTTTAGGTTATAGATATGGGGAATCTCTGTCTTTGCTTTTGCCAGATCTTGCATTGGTGGGATGGTATCTCCTTGGCTAGAACAGCCATGGGGAAGAGTGGGGAAGGCAAGTAACTGCTTCATTCTTGGATAAATGAGTGCATAATCATACATAAGCAAAAACATCTAGTCAGCTGGAGTATGCATGCCCTTGAAAATATGAAATCAAATTTTGAACCCAGATTTGCATATGCTCATAGGCTTTTTCTTTATTAACAACCTGTTATAAATAAACATCTGAAAACATTTAAAAAGCAGTGCTCTGCTTACTGTCTGACCCATGATAGGCATACAACCTTGATGAATGAATGAATGAATAAATATCATTGTCCTTAACCAAGTTGGGCATGGTGGGTGCCCCATTAGTCTTGGAAGCCGGGGGGCTGTTATAGTTTCTCCTACTTGCTGAGACACCTTTAAGGGTGGAGGTGTTTCTAGGAGTGGTACTCCGATTAAGTTGTACCCCCAGCCAAGGTTGGGCCAACCCCCCTACCTTTCCCAGAACCATCTCACCTTTCTCTGTCCTTCAGGTTCCTCCTAACTTGATCCAAGGAAAAAGCTCTTTCCCTGTGCCCTCCTGGTTCCAGGTGGGCTTGTGGTGCCCTCTGTGGGTGGATATTATTGTCTTAAATAATTTTGCCTTTTCCATCCCTGCTACCACTTTCTCCCACTGTACCTCACATCCCCTTCCACTTTGGGCTCCCAAACAAAGCCTCAGACCTGGACAAGGCATATTCTTCCACCTTCATGACACCATTCCAATCAGCTGATGCATCACTGCAGTACGCACTGTCACCCCTTTGCTCAGAAACTTTCAATGTGTTCCCATTGCTTAAGTCTGACACTCAAGGCTCTCCACAACCAGCTCTTAATTATCTCTCCAACTACCTCTCTCTACTCTTCTCGTCAAATGCCTTGTTTTAGCCAAACTGGTTCATTCATTTTCCCTAAACATTTGGTCCGTGCCTTTACTCCCTTTCTCACTTGTTAAAAAATCGCACTTCAAGATCTACCTTGTTTCACTTCCTCCACAAAGCTGGCCATGACCTCTATAACTGCAAGGACTTTTCTTTTTTTCCTACTCTGGCTCCTTTAGGTCTGTTAGCACAACTCATTCAGCACGTCCCACACTTTCCCTTGGATTGCTATATATCTTGTTCATTCATTTAATATTTTATCCAATTAAAATTTTATTTTTGTAACCAAAGTAATTTTTATTGTAAAAGATCCAAGCAATACATAAACATACCAAGTAACATGTTGAACTTTTTCCCCTCTACTTTTCTCACTCCCATACCCAGATTTAACCATCCTCATCTATTTGGTGTGCATCCTTCTCGTTTCTTTTCTAACTGTATTTACCTACATATGCATATTTGGGGATGGGCTATGATATAAATGGGCTCATATCATATCTATTATTCTGCTACTTCCATTTTTTGTGTGTGTGTGACTGGCCTGTAGGGGGATCTGAACCCTTGACCTTGGTGTTACCATAACCATACTCTAACCATCTGAGCTAATTGGCCTCCTGCTTGCTTTTTAAACTTAAGGGTATATACATTTATGTTAGAGATTTTCCATATTACTATAGATCTTCCTTTTTAATGGTTTCTCAGTATTTCTTTTTCTTTTCTTCAGTATTTCATAGTATAATAATCTATTCAAAATAAAACATTTGTTAGAATCTGTTTTTTGGAGGGTATTGTGCAGTTAGTGCCTAGGGAGTTCCAGACGTGATCACAACTTTGTCCTTGCCATCAGTGAGCTGGCTTTTTGAGGAGAGGTGGGAAGGGAGGAGTGGGGCATAGACAAATAACTGCAAAACAAGGAAAAATATAGTTTCTCCACGTGTATACCTGAACTTCAGAAATAGGGGAAGTCACTTCTAGCTAAGAGAATTGGGATTTCACAGAATGATATTTGAGGGAGTTTGACAGGTGAAGGAAGAGCATGAGCTAGGGCACAGAGATAGAAACACATGAGGTAGGTTCATCTGACACCAGACCACATTCCATGAACAAGATGGGGATTTAGTTCAA